GAGGGAGAGGGAGAGGGAGAGGGAGAGGGAGAGGGAGAGGGAGAGGGAGAGGGTGAGCAAGAGAACGCTCACTAGAAAGCATAAAGAAGACAGAAAATCTCAGCATGTAGAACTGACACTTGTGTCACTTCATGAGTGAAGCCGCATAATGTCAGGGAGTCACTGAATGACAGACCCCCTTTGCTGTCCTTTGTCTCTCACCTGGGTTATGACATCAACCTAACACCAGTTCAGGACACCGCTGCAACACCAGCTGCTTGCTCACACACCAAAGACACTTCAGATTGCAAAGTCCCCGTCCATATCTTTACCCTTTCACCTGCTAACTTTTGAGATGTTCCCTGACCACAGATCTGTAGCTGTCCACAGTCCAGAACAGCTGATCCATGAGGTCCTCAGCCATGGGAAGGGCCAAACTGGTAGAGGCGTTAAACAACTGACTCTTATGCTCCCTGCCCCCAGTTAATTTTCTTCTTAAAATAGAAATCTCTCCCTCTCCCTCTGTCTCTGGTTCTCTGTCCCTGTCTCTGTCTCTGTCTCTCTCTGTCTCTCCCTCTGTGTGTGTGTGTGTGTGTGTGTGTGTGTGTATGTGTGTGTGTGTGTGTGTGTGAGAGAGAGAGAGAGAGAGAGAGAGAGAGAGAGACAGACAGACAGACAGACAGACAGACAGATAGACAGATGTAAATGTAGGCACATTCATGCCAAAGGAAGTGTGTGGAATTCAGTGGACAACTTCAAATGCCGATCATTTCCTTCCACTTTGTTTGAGACAGGGTCTGTCTTGCTCCCTGCTGCCTGCGACAGCTTCGGCGTGTGTTATGGGAATCTTAGCTTCAGTGTCAGGCCTGCTTGTTCCTAGATTAGCCTCTGAGCCATCTCCCCAGCCCAGGACTGAAGAGTTTAAAGATGATCTGCATCTGCCATTCTTTCTTCCTCAGAGTTAGGTAAGAAGTGTGTTTTAGGTAGAGAACTATTACAGTTTACAGGGCATAGAACTCTGCCAAGCTTCTACGGAAGGCAGAGCTGAGGAGGATGGGAAGATATGAGGCAGACACTCTACCAGGTGGGGGTTGAGGGTCAGGGAAGACTTACAAAACGAGGAGTGATGAGGCTGGGACAGCCATGGGGGCTGGACATTGCTTCCCTCCTCTTGTCTCTAACTCATAATTCAGGAGATTGGTTTAGGGCGGGGGGGGGGGTGCTCATCAGGAGGTTCTGTCCCTGGCCTAGGCTTTAAATTTTCCAACAGCAGACCCTAGACACTTGAGTTCTTAAGATGAGATACAATATGGTATCATGTTAGAATCTGAAGGAGCTCTACACTGTCCTTTCTTCTTGGTCTCAAGTATTTCTGTGTGGGACAATAGGTGAGGTGAGTCAGTGAAGCACGCCTCAGGCTTCTCACACATTCGGAATAAGAGCAACACCTTGATTTCTGGAAAAGAGAAACTTAGGGAAAAGGAAGAGGAAACAGAGGCCTGGTTGAGTGGCAAAGTGTTAGCTCAGCACATACAGGCCCTGGATTCCATCCCAGCACTGCCAGGGAGCAAAACTATATAGGACATCACTTGCCTATAATGACAGCGCTTGGAAGGCTGAGGCAGGAGGATCATGGACTGGAGAACAACTTGGACAAGAGAGAGAGTTCTAGACTGGTTTGGGGCTACTTTGTAAGACCTTGACTCAAAAAAAAAATTAAATAAAATGAAAAGATTTTTAAAATGAAAAGGAATATTAGTTTCCTCCAGGGGTAGAGAAGAAAGGTTTCATGCTCTGAGGGACAGACTGAAACTAGAAAGTTACAGTGAGAGTTAGACAAACGGTTGATCAACTAAAGCAACAGTAAGCCGAGCAGAATGTATTATTAAAGAAATAAGAAAGTGTCCAAGTGTATATGTGTCACTGGGAAAAGATGGCTACTTCAGTGGAATCAGAAACTGACTGTCCCAACTGTCCCCAAGCTGCTTAGCCTTGAGCTTGGGACAGCTCCCCGGGTGTCTGTACAATGGGGTAATTATGAAAATCGTGATCACCAATGCATTTAGAAATATAAAATTCTGCAGGGTGTTTTATGAGTTCTTGGGATCTAAGGAAGCTCCTCACGTATTATTGGAATGGGATCGGGGTGCCAAGAGCCTTTGAAAGTGGCCATCAGTCTAGAAGAAAATCAGCTCTCTAGCAATAAAGAAAAGAAAGAAAAAATCTAACCCTCTATCCTCACCTTCTACTCATTTTTGGAAATTGGGCAACGGAACCTGGTGCAGGAAGCCCAGCGGCACCTGATAGGTCTCTCCTTGCCCCTCACCTTTTGGGGTTGGGCTTCCCCTTCCTGCCAGACAAATCCCATGGTGATAGCAGCCAGCACCAGGTGTGCCAGGCGCTGCTCGCGGTGACTCTTTAGGAACCTGCAGTCCAGGAGAGGCATCTAGTCAAGAGATTAAAAGGATTAGCAGCTGGAAAAAACGGAACGACGGTGGAGGATTAGGTCCCGTGACTTGAGGGTCCCGCAGCTGTTAGACCGCTCTTTGGCTTTCAACAGGCATCTCAGTGGCTTCATGCACACTCACTTAAACCAGCTCTTAGAGGAACACAGTGGAGGTGCCACGTCCTGGGGTCCATAGCCTAGATAGTGCCCAGTTTGGGCTTACACTGGTCTCCATCTATTGCTTTGAGGATCTCAGAGTAAGCATTGGGGTCGAGATAAGTTCCTCCCCGGCCCCGCCCCCGGCCCGCCCCGGCCCCGCCCCCACCCGCCCCCCACCCGCCCCCCACGCGCGCAGCAGCATTTATGGACCTGGAAGCCCTCAATTTTTCCAAACCTTTAACTATATTAAAATTTTAAACACAGCGAGCGAGACCCAGTAGTTTAGGGATCTAAACTCCCCACAAAACCTTGGCTCCGCTGGGTACAAGGCTTGCTCGGATCCTCATCAAGCAACCACAACTCAGCCAGATGAGGTGGCGGGGCTTTCCACCCAGCTCATTCCCCATGTAGTCCCTGTGGGAAACCACAGTTCCTGGTGACGCGAAAAGGCCACCCTGAAAAACAGCATCATTCCGACCACACCAGCTTCCCTGTCCTGCCTGGCTGCCACCGGCTCATCGCTCGTCTCCTCAGCTCTTTGCTCTCTTTGCTCTACAGGCTTGCCTCAGAGGGCAGGCGACACTTGTAAAATGCTGGGGACAATGGGTTCCTAGAGGAGGGCTAGACCTTGAGAAAAGAGGTGGCACAGAGCCCTTCCTCCTCCGGCCGCTAGGGGGAAGAGGATGACAGCAGTAGTTGTACTTGGAATTTGGTACTTGGAATTCCTGGTACTTGGAATTTGAGGCTTAAACATCCCCTGCGGGAGCCAAAAGACAAAATTGTCTCAGATGCATTTGCTAGGGTCACAGAATCAGGAAGGAACGAGGCAGTTCTGCAGATTGACCACAGCCCCAATCACTAGAATCATGCATGAGTCACAGGTTTTGTTTGAAAATTTCCAGTAGCTACAGTTTTTTTTAAGGCAAAATGAATTAAAATTAGTTCTAATAATGTACTTTGTTGAGTCAATGTATAAAAGTTATTTTAGCATGCAATCAGTATAAAAGTCTTTCAGTCTTCTAGTCTGTGTCTTCTCACGCTTTGTCCTTCCTTGTCACACCTCGGGTGTTGCAGAAGACCACCTACAGGACAGGACGCCTCGCTGTAAAGGAACAAAGTCTACTGGACAAATGTTTTCTGGAGAGTCCCTGCACATTTCAGCATTGCTGACCTCACCTCCTAAACATACCTGTGATTCAAAAGCAACTATAGGGGCTGAAAAGGAAATGCTACCTTCATAGTTAATCATTTTGCCTACACAAACAGCCACAGACGGTCAGGGAGAACGCCGCACACCCTTTATCTCCCTGACATTATTTGATTGTGTATTTAACCTGGGAAAATCAATCCTAGTACTCTTCTCTCAGAACTCAGTGACCTGGGGCCAGCTGCCTGTCCTGATTTCTGAATATCCTGTAAGGATCACTTAATGGTATTTTTAGAATCAATTCATAATTAGACACTAAGCATCAGCAAAGAAGGTACTGGAGAGTGGAGTGCCTTGCTTGAACATCTGAAATCTTGTGGCTTGCTTGTGACAGATGAAGATGAGACGGGGAAGAGATATGCAAATAATGGATGTTGTTACCTAGCAGGAACTGTGAGAGGGTCCTTGCGAAAGCCATTAATGCTCACAGTCATGAGCTGAGGACTTCTTCCAGTTCTCAAAGAAGGAAGTGAGACTCTGAGGCCAACTCTCTGTTTCACGCTTCCTATAAAATTCCTGAATCAAAGTATGCCTCCTATAGAGGTCACATTTTTTTCTAATTTCTTTTTGAGGGAAATTGCTCGCTCTGTCACAGATGTGTGTCATATACTTACATGCATGCAAATTCTTATGTGGTGTCTGTGGATTTCATTATTTCTACATAGCCAAGGCTGACTCTGAGTTTATAAATCAGAAAGACATTTGATTCAACTAGTATATAACACACTAACACTAAGACCAAGGTACCCACCCGGAGGTAGCAGGGCAGTGACCATGTGGGTTGGGACAGCTCACTGAGAATCTCCTGTACCGGTCCTGCCGGTGTGAAGTCAAGCAGTCCTCTTAGGGGTGAGTGAGGATTATAGGAAAGATGGAAAAGAAGGCTCGGAGACAAAGGTTAGAATCGTGAGGGCTGTCCAGCCTCGAGTTTAATTCTCTTAGGCTTTATATACTTTACGGTATCATGGGAAATGAAGTCACAAGCCAGCAGAGACGATGGCTGACGTACATCTGATATCCATACCCATCTGGAGGCCTCCCTATTCCTCCTTGTTCCTTCTTCGAAGATTGACAGAACATTCAACCCCTCCCCTTGAGGCTAGGAAATCTGTCAGCAGACCCCGGCCTGACTTGACTTCAACCTGACAGGCAGGCTTTCACAGAAGCAGGCAAAATGGGTCCTGCCAATCTCCATGTGTGTCTTCCTCATTTCCCCACAATTTATTTTCAGTTCTTATCTATCAGCATTTTTTACACAAACGCAGGATAAGGACTTGATGTGTCTCAGGTGCCGCTTGTGCATGCTAAGGAAGACAGCTCAGTGGCGAAGGTCAGTTCCCACTGCCAGGTCAACTGTCTCATTCCCGGAAAGATAAGGAAAGGGAAATGGAGACTGAAGGGATGGCGAGAGGAAGAACATGAAGAGAAGAACAAAGCAACGTACCTTGTACACATGAGCTTGGAGCTGGTGGCTCTCAATTAAGTGAGGAAGTCTGTTGGCAGTTTCCATCCAAGGCTTGTAATAATCGGGGAGTTCTTTCTGCATTTCAAACAGAAACAGTTCAGTATTTTACAGAAAGCAGCTTTGGAATGCTCTTCAAGAGAATTCAAGTCAACCCAGGTATGCAAAGAGAACTTACTGCAAGCTTGACCTTAGGCTAGACTAGCCACACAGACACACAGGTGACTAGAACACAGACCTTGGGCTCATATCAGAGCACCAGAGAAAGTAAGTCAAGATAAAATGGGTCCCAATGTAAATCACATGCTTCATACTGGGGGTTTGGGGGTGTCCAGGCGTTTGCATATGTGTGCATGCATGTGCATGCATGTGTGTGTGTGTGTGTGTGTGTGTGTGCGCGCGCGTGTGCTTGAGACTCTCGAGAAGGGGTAGGGCTAAGTTTTGTCAGTCTATTATTGAAGTCTGAAAGTGACTTCTCTTTTCTTCACTTATAGTTTTGTATTTTCAGTCTTTTGAGACAGACTTTTGCTACTATGTAGCGAAGGCTGATCTTGAACTCACCGTCTTGTACCTCAGCCTCCCACATGCTGTAATGTAGATATGAGAGTATATAGTTTGTTTTATTTTTGACAGTCTCTGTGAGTCCTAGGCTGCCATTAACCTTGAGATCCTCGTTCCTCAGCCTCCAGCATAACTGGAATCAAAGGCTGCACCTGTTTCTATGAATCCATTTATACTGAGATTCATCTACCCCTATTGTCTGTGTCAGCTTTCGAATACAAGCAACAGACCTGGGCAATCTCAGCAGAACGCTATATGCTGTGCAAAAGAAGCTCTTTTGGCCTTTCAGAAAACATTCACCAAACATGGATGGAGTCCAGTGGCTTTTCAGTGAACAGGTTGTCCAGAGTCATGTATGGCCTCTGAGTTCTGGAGAAATGGGATGAAAGCCACGACCGTGTTTATGAACAGAGCGACTGTGCAAGGGGTCAGAACACATAAAACGCAAGTAGAGGTAAGAGTAGGCAAAAAGCTAGTTCTCAGTAAATTCCAGCTTCCATCTCTGTAGAAATTCAAATGATGTGGCACGTAGTGTAAGGAGCAGACAGAAGTCACTAACAGAGAAGGCACAGAGCCAGCAGAGCCGGTGCTTCTGAAGACTATGCAAACTGAAACATCAAGGAAGCCTAGATTAGCACGCTGGGGGATATTCACAAGGTAGGCACAGATAAAAAAGAACATTCTAGAGGTTCAATGAGCCATAGAGAACAACCATAAGGCAGTCAAAACTTAAGCAAATTTTATGGAAAGCAATAATCAGAAGATCAAGGGCATCAATAGAGAGTTAAAATAAGGCTACCCCTTAGGGACAAAGCAACACAAAGAGGTGTGGGCCAGTTTCTCTACGCCTTTGTTATGGAAACCGAGGGCAGAATCTTGAAAGCTAGGTTTAAATGCCCCTGTGCTGGGGAAACGTGGAGCGATGGACTTTTTAGGAGAGACATCAGTGAAAGGGAAGCTGCTTTTGCAGAGGTCTTCTAGGGATAAGAGCAGTGAGCAGTTCATAGTCTGCTGCTGTAAGAGGAACAGTATGAAGAAGCGGGGTCGGGGGACACAGGGGCAGCAGGGCATGGGAGATGCATCCTGGTAGAAGCAGAAGCGGGGGCTGGGGGCTTGTCTTCCCATGGATCCACTTTCTCAGCTCACTGGCGTAAAGATCAGGCTGTG